TTTTGAGGTGAAGTTCACTTGGTCAGTTAAGTTATAGCCACCAAAGGTTCCATATCAGATTCCACATATCTAAATGCTCATTTATATTACATGAAATACTTCATGAACCATTTGTGCATTTTGTAGGTTGTACAAATGGAACCTTCCATCCCATAATTATGGATATGAATTGGTAAATAACTCTGTAAATTAAAGAAAAAAATTCCTTTTAAGCTTTTGTACATAACTCTGTAAATATTTTCGTGTCAAAAATTACAGATGGTGATAGTAAAATTATATACAATTGCGGATGTGATAATATGCCTTATATAATCTTAGTAGAGCTTTTTGAAGTATGCAAATGTTTTTTACTGTTCAGGCTACTCCTGAAGTTCGAAGCCTTCACATTGGTCAAATGTTTTCATTGCTTTAGATTAGGTGCTCTCAGCGTCTCTCTCATAGTCATGCTATTTGCTCTGCTTTGAAGCTACATAGCTCTTAATGAAATGTTTCCCTATTACCATCTATAAGCTACATAGCTCTTAATTAATGAACGGTAGGGCGCCGCGAAGCGCGCCTAAAAGTCCTAGTATTTATTTAATGTGAGCATATATGGTGGAAGAGAACTAAGAAACACGCAGACTTTAAGTCCCACATGCATAGAAAACGAGGACTTAACTACCTATCAATGTCTGCATACATGCATGCCTAAATGCAATATAAGCTACATGTCAAACGAAGAGTCCAAGGTTATATGATGAATGATGATTGATATAGAATAGAAGGAGTATTAGTTTTGAGGATTTTGTAGGATCGGACTGTAAGAACTAAGTTAACCAGAAGAGGTGAATGGTTGAAGTACCAAAAAACTGAAATTTTTAGCAGAACTAAAAGTTACACAATATCTCCATCATATGCCATATGGAATCTTCACTAACCACGTGCATTAATCGTTAGCCTAAGCATCTTGCATTATATCTTGATCGTCTGGACGTCATCTTCTCCCAAGTTGACTCCCGATTCATCATTGGCAACGCTCTTCTGAGGCAAATCACTTACACATGCACCAACCAAGAAACCATATCTGAGTGCAAGTTCTCACCAACTTGACTCACTAATAGCAAATAACAATATTACACACTAGTATCTATCTAGAAATCATAAATATGAATTATCCATGGATATCTAAAGAATCGATCCTAAACTGAAACCAACACAACGTCGGTCGGTCAGACCGCTCACATACGTTGGTCTGATAAGCAACCACTTTGTTAGTAATTCTTGTTCATCACCTGAAAATTCCAATCATCTCTAAATCCACTTCGTCAATAATCTCCAAATATCAAAACCGATAATATCATATGCCAATTGTTCATTACAAAATAACAATCAAACACTTTGATTTTACTGATTTTAGAATAATACGTTATTGTAGGCCAAAGCCCCGATTGTTTATTATTAAGATGCAAATTATACATCGGATTCGGTTAACACATTTTTTAAATTGCTAAACGATATGTTTTGTGTAAAAACTCCTATATAGAAGTTGCTCTAAAATATTAAATAAACCCATTTTTAAGTTTGCAATAATTAATACTCAAATAATCATGTGTTAATGGCTTGCCTTATTTTATGTGCGCAAAAAAAATCTTCACCTTCATCCGAGACAAATGGGAGCCTTAGAAATGAAATAAGATAGAACTGTGCAAGATTATTTTGTAATATTAAAGTACATGAAGAAATTATCGATATGGTGGGGAGCACATTCAGTACTATCATTCTTTTAGAATGTATACTGCTTTAACATCAATCATCTCTAATTTAAATTTCTTCATATATTATTTTTAACCACTCTTCTACCACTAAACACCCTTACTCCCTCCATCCCAAAATAACTCAACCTAAAATGAGATGTGACCCATCCTAAGGGCAACATCAATGTTACTTGCCCAACTTGGTAGTAGTGTGTCAGTAGTATGGGCCAGGTCTACAAGTAGTAGTAAGCAATCATGCACTCCACAATGTATCAGCATATCAGTAGGAAACAAGGTAGGGCCAGCTTCAGAAAAAATCACCGATGGCAATCTCTAGCCGTGACTTATTTCCATGCATTTTATCAGAAACACCGTGCAAATAAGATAGTTTAATTCCTGTTACCCGATTGTAGCCGTGTTACCGGGCTGCAACTACTTACTAGTCCTACAATGGTTACTACCGGGTAATAAGTGAGTATTTAATGCTTATTACCTGCTAAAATGCTATATTGTGGATACCCTAAGAGTGTATAAAGTTGGAGTAGTAAATGGCTGCTATGTAGATATGTTGAATGGTCCAATCGAATGTAGAATGGTCCCACCACACATATAGATTGTAGAGGCATATGTGCTCGTCCAATTGAGATCCTCTGCAGTACTGCATGTGCAGTACTGCTCACTAACATGTGGGCCCCACAGGCCCTCGGGCCCACATGTCAGTGAGTAGTACTGCACATCGGGCCCACATGTCAGTGAGTAGTACTGCACATGCAGTACTGCAGAGGACCTGCATCCGTGCTCGTTTGCATGCATTACAAGTGTTAGTTTTTTTTATCTAGGAATGAATGCTTATTATCAATCCCTAGATCCCAATTTGATCATCCTCTAGTAAAGGTTAACAAGATCAATAACATCAAAATACTTCCTCCATCCCATTTTAATCATTCTCTAAGGGTGTGTTTGGATAATGGGAAATGAGAGGTGGGATTGGGATTGGGAAATGAATGAAGGGTTAGGATTAAATGAAAGGGGGAGAATGAATGGTTAGGATTTAAAGATGTCTTTTAGTGGGTGGGAAATCATTTCTCTATCCCATTTGTCAAACATGGCCTAAGGTTATTGAGGTTTTTCCAAAATGGGCATCATTTAATAAATGTATCTTCGTTTATTTATGTAAACGAAGAGTAAATTCACATCATTAAATATGTTGCATGTAACCAACTAATATTATTTTTTATTAGAGTAACGGTATACTACAATACTTAAAATATGAGCATGATAAAATCATGGGACATGAAGCCATGAAGCACCTTGACCTCGGGATACATTGTTTCCCATGGATACAGCACCATTTCAGCCCATATTACATGGACCTCTCTTCGTGATGCCTTCCGGACCGAATCACTTGGGCCTCACTTTGCATACGAGCCCATTCCATCCTGTATGGGCCGCACGTAGCCGAACTCCCAGTTCCAGCCCGTCATATTTAGGCGGGAAAAGTACACCGAAGGTCTCTCAACTTGTCGTCGGGATAAAAAACGTCATCGAACCACAAAACCGGATATCGTGGGTCCCTTATCTATAGAAAACCGGTTACAATAGGTCCCTCGGTGGTTTTGATCCCGATTTTATCCTGCGTGGCTGCTAAGTCAGCGTGGGACCTTATGTGGGTCCCACATGTCAGGATGCCACGTCAACGCCTTTCTCTTTCTCCTCTTCTCTCCCTTCTCTCTCTCACTTCTCTACGCTGCGCAGGCTAGCCGACGGGAGGGGAGGAGGCCGGTGGGGCGCGGTCCCGCGGCGCCGCCCGCCGCGCGCTCCGCGAGGTGGGCCGCGACGGCATCGTCGTCGTCGCCGGCCGCGCCGTCTCCGGCCAGTTCGCCACTGCTGGCGAGGACGCGGACCCGTCCTCTGGCGCCGCAGCGGCGGCAGCGTCGGCGGCGGGCAGGCGGGTGTACGTGAGGAGGTCGGTCACCGGTGGGGCGAGGCAGGAGTGCAGGACCGCCGCCACTGGGCAATCAAACCGATTTGTTACCATGGTGAACACCCAGAAGCGAGGTTCTCAGGCTCAGCATTGATCCCGTTGTTCAATGGAGGAACCACATTGGCGAGGACGAGCATAGCTTAGCTTAATTAACTAATGATAAGCTCGAGCTAGCTAGCCTATATATACACATGGCACTGGCTCTTGCATCTCCACACACACACACACATTCAATTCACATACAAAAACTAAGCTAGCTAAGCTAGCGAGATTATCACAGTATATATGGGATTCACGGTGACGAGGACGAGCAGGTCGCTGGTGGCGCCGTCGTCGCCGACGCCGGCGGAGACGCTGCCGCTGTCGGTGCTCGACCGCGTGGCGGGGCGCCACCTGGTGCAGTCGCTGCACGTGTTCGAGGCCGGCGGCGGAAACGGCGGCGGCGGTGGCGAGCCGGCGAGGGAGGCGCTGGGGAAGGCGCTTGTGGAGTACCACCCGTTCGCCGGGAGATTCGTGGAGGTGGTGGGGGCCGACGGCGGCGGCGAGGTGGCGGTGGTCGGCGTCGGACGGTGGCTTGCCGGCTGCAATGATGTGGTGCCTTGCCCCACCGGCCTCCTCACGTACACCCGCCTCCCGCCGCCGACGCCGCCGGCGCCGGCGCCGCAGCGCCAGAGGAAAGGTCTGCACCAGCGGTGGCGAACTGGGTGGAGACGGCGCGGCCGGCGACGACGACGACGCCGTCGCGGCCCACCTCGCGGAGCGCGCGGCGGGCGGCGCCGCGGGACCGCGCCCCACCGGCCTCCTCCCCTCCCGTCGGCTAGCCTGCGCAGCGTAGAGAAGTGAGAGAGAAGGGAGAGAAGAGGGGAAAGAGAAAGGTGTTGGCGTGGCATCCTGACATTTGGGGTCTACGTGGGTTCCACGCTGACTCAGCAGTCACGTAGGACAAAACCAGGATCAAAATTGTCGAGGAACAAATTGTGACCGGTTTTATATAGTTAAGGGATCCGTGATATCCGGTTTTGTGGTTCGAGAACGGTTTTATCCCGACGACAAAGTTGAGAGATCTTCGGTGTACTTTTTCTTATTTAGGCGTCACGTAGCCCACAATCCTCTTCCATCCTATCCTATATGGGCCGTATTTCTCAGATACATATGGGCCGTAATTTTACTAGCAGTACTGTTCTTTGAGGCCCAAATCACACGGGCCGCCCGTTTCGTCGCGATCACCACCACCAGCATCGCACGCGCGCACCGCCTCCGAAAACTTTTCGTCTCCCCGCCCAAATCCCCTCCGCCTCCTCCCCCTCCCAAAATTCCCCAACCCGCAACCTTCTCGAAGCTCCCGCGCGCGGCGGAATGGCCGCGCCGCCTCCGCCGCCGCCGCTGCACCCCGCCATCATCATCGATGACGACGACGACGTAAGCGCCTCCTTCTCCTCTTCCGGTCACCCCCCCTCCGCTCGCGTTTTCACCTTTGCTCCGGGAAACCCTAACCTCCCCCCCGCAGGACTTCGACTGGGAGGCGGCCGTGCAGGAGATCGACAGGCGATGCGCCCTCGCGTCTTCTTCCGCCGCGTCGGAGTCGGCACCGCCGCCGGAGCCCTCGGCGGCGGCCGGCACGCGGCAGTTGACGCTCGACCGATTCGTCGACTCCTTCACCAGGAGGAGACAGATGGCGGCGATGGAGAGGGGGCCGCCTGTGCCTGCTTCGCCGCCCGCAGCGGCGCCGATCCTACCGAGTGGCGCCAGGGGCCCCCCTGTGCCTGGTTCGCCGCCCGCAGCGGCGCCGGTCCCGCCGAGTGGCGGCTGGGGGCGCCCCAGTGACCGCGCCGGTGAGGGGTGCTCGCGTAGAGCGGACGAGGATGTCGTGCCTAAGCCCTGCGGCGTTGCTCTGGACCACGAGGCAGCGCGAACTTGGATTTATCCAAGTGAGTGTTCTCCATTTCTACCTGCATTTCGAGAAGAATCACTCCGTCATCAGTAGTTTTCTAGAGCATTTTCATTGGCATGCAAGAATAACCTGGTTTAGACACAATTAATTAGTGCATGTTTCAGTATTGGTGTACTAAGTATTTTGATTGCTCATTTGGACCTCAGAATCTTTTTTTTTTGTATAGCCTTCTAACTCCCCAGGGAACTCTCCTGGACTCCCTGTCTCCACTCTCCAACATAGATGTGCAAACATTCTGTTCCTCAGTGATTAATAATGTAACGATTCCAATATAAGCGAAACAAAAAATAACTTCTGAAACACCACTCAAATGCTCATTTCTGTTCTTGTTGTAGTTCACTTCTGCTGTAATCATGTTTGCTTTGTAAATAGTTAGAGGTTACACATAATAACTTAGCTCTCTAACCAAGGTATCAATGTGTCAGCTGTGTAATTTAAGTGGCTTTTGTTCATGTGTTGCAGCTAATGTACAAGTCCGAGAGTACCAAAAAAAATTTGTAGAGAAGGCTTTATTTACCAATACACTAGTGGCTTTACCAACAGGGCTTGGCAAAACTTTTATTGCAGCAGTAGTGATGTATAACTACTTTAGATGGTTTCCTGAAGGTAATTTTTTGTACCATGCTGGAACTTTTTTCCTCTTCTGTTGTAAATTGGGAAAAACCCTTTCTGACAGTTGGTCTTCTTATCTTGTAAATCTGAAAAAATAAAGGGAAAATAGTATTTACTGCACCTACACGTCCTCTTGTTACTCAGCAAATTGAGGCATGCCATAATACAGTGGGAATACCACAGGTATTAATTTCTTTCTGTAGATGTTCATGCTTATCTGGTATCAGTTGAAGATCAAATTTTCTTCTCTACCAGTACCTGGAACTATTGCTTTTTACTTGTTGCAGGAGTGGACAATTGACTTGAAGGGGAATCTAAGCCCCTCAAAGCGATCATGCTTTTGGAAGTCTAAAAGAGTGTTCTTTGTCACTCCACAAGTTCTACAGAATGATATACAATCTGGTGATTATTTCTCTTGTTTGTCCAATTGTCCTATGCTTTTAATATTTTTATTGGATATTTTACAATTGTACTTTGTCTTTGAAAGTTCCATGTGTTGCTTTATGAGTAGTTTAGAATGGCAAGTGGCAACCAAATATTGATTTATTTCTGGAAGAAACAGCATCACTTCTTTTCTCGCATAGTAAAAACACAGTTGCACTAGAGCTTCCATTGAAATGGAGTCAGCACAAAAGAAGGCAGAAATTTTGTGCATAACAGATGCATATAAAAGCCCACACATGACAAGAAGTCATGTCCAAACTTGTAGTTCATATCGCCCCTGCAAATCATGTGTCAACTCAGCTATATAATTTACTCCCATTTGACACTAGCTTCACCATTCTCTTCCACCTTTCATTAAGTATTATTACCTCAATTTTATGTTTGGACTGCCCGCTTCAGAAATGGACCGACCACAGTAGTTTCTTCTTGTTCCCACTATCTTTAATGCTACCATTTCTCTGAGTTGACATTGTTAATTTGGCTTTTGGCAGGGATATGCATGGTGAATCAACTCGTTTGCTTGGTGATAGATGAAGCTCATCGAGCCTCGCGAAATTATGCTTACTGTGTTGTAGTCCGTGAGGTATATTTGATACCCAAGCAATCTCTTTTGTTGGTTATCTTTCATGGGTTTCCTCCATATCAAGCTCATTTGAAGAAGATGATATCGGTAGGGTGTAAATGAATGAGTCGTTCTGACACCTGCTTGTTATTTTTCTACTTTTCTGCTTTGTTGACAGTTGGAGGCAGCTCGTGTGCCGTTAAGGATTTTAGCTCTGACTGCTACACCAGGATGTTAGTCTCCTCAAAATTAAATAGAAGTGCTGAAAAATGGAGATGCTTGCTAATTTTTCAATCCTGTTTTATTCAGCAAAGCAACCAGCTATACAAAATGTTATCAACAATTTGCGCATTTCTGAGTTGGTTCACTGTGATGAAAGTGATCCTGAAGTCAGCCGTTATATTCAGAGGCGCACAGTTGAACCTTTAGAGGTGTGCATGGACAGTGATAAATTTGTAAGTTGTCTATGCTGTTTCTCTCTTCTGAAGGGTCACTTGTTTCAATGCAGATACCAGTTGGCGATGAGGCTGAACAAGTCAATGATAAGCTTTTGGATGTTATACGTCCACATCTTGTTAAATTGCGTTCTGCTAGGGTCATTGATCACAGGGATGCTTCAAATGTATGTTTCATGCTGTCTTTAATACATCGATCATCTAGATGCATTCATTTTAGGTGAAGAATTTATCTACTTCTGTCCTGATGCTTTGCTGCTCAGGCACTTCTGATTTGCTACTCATGTGCATTATTAATTGCTTATTTTTTCCAGTGGAGTCCACACCAGTTGCGCATGTTAAAGGACAAATTTGATCAAGCACCCCCGCCAAATATTCCTTTAGCAGACAAAAAGGAAATTGGTATATCTTTTCAAGCTCTAACCTTACTTTATGGCATTATGAAAATGCTTTTGAGCTATGGTATCAAGGCAGCACATCAGTCAATCGAAGCCAAATATAAAGAAGGGTATTGCCTACACTCTACAAACACTTCTATTACAATGTTTCACTTGCATGTCATCATAGTGCATAATTAGGCTCCTAACTGTGGATCTTCTGAGCATCATCCCCTTGAGCATGAAAGAATATCCTTTACACTTTTACTGATTATACTTTTGCAAAGCAGTAGCAGCCCTAGTCCATTCTGTTTAGAACTTCGATATAATATACCAATATAGTGAGAATTCAGGAGCTTAGTCAGTTCGTTGTATTTGAGCTGTTCCATATACACTTCTGATGATAGTACTGTTTTTGGTAGGTTGAATGGTATATGTAAATAAGTACCTGAATGAAGCTTGTAGCCTTGTACATCTCAACAATATCATTCTTCCAGTTCCTGTTCCCATCCCATCTAGATTCTTTTATTTACCCTTGCTACCTTCTACTCACCAACTACTGCACCATCTGCTAGAGGCAATCTCATCCTCCGGTGAGCCATCCCTACACTTGAGCAGTGAACACACCCACATCTCATATAAATTAATTGATTGATACACTAGACTAGAGATCTCACCCTTTTTTTTTTCTTGATTCTGTGCATGCTCTACCGAGTTTTACAAGAAAGTCTTCCATGCGTGCTCAAATTTATCATGGCTTTTGTGTAATGAAGATCATGGAAGGTGCTTACAAGAAATAACACATTTTTGGAAGTAAAGAAAACTATGGAGAACTTCTTATCTCAAGGCATTCTCAGTCCAAAAGTTCGGACATTGGTAGAAGTGTTGCTAGATCACTTCCGTAAGTAACTTTCTCGTAATGTGGTACATATATCTTCTTTGTCTAGTTGATCAATAATTCTATAATGTATACTGCTTGCTATACAACAACCTACTCATTCTGTAGGACAACTAATAGCTCAATCTATCAGAATAAAGTTTAGTGCATCATTCCGTGGATTTGTATTTTTGTAAGAATAGTAACTCTTTTGTAGTATAGAAGTGTTTTGTTGGTGAAACTTTTCTGTTTAGTACTCCCTCCGTCCCAAATTATAGGGCGCCCTCTTTTTAAGGAAAATCAAACTTGGTAACTTTTGACTAATAACCATATTAACCATATATATGCTAAGTATTATGCATGTTATATCAATAGATTCATATTTTAAAGTACTTTCATGTGATGCTAATTTTATATTTGTTGGAAACATAACATGTAATATATTAATGGTCAAAGTATGTCATTGAAGACCGCGTAAAAGAAAGAAAAAATATAGGCCTTATAATTTGGGACGGAGGGAGTATTACAGTGACACCTGAATATTTTTCACTAGTATTCTTGCAAATGTGGCACTCTGTCAGTTCCAAAATACAAGAATTTCTTGGGGTTTTACTGAAGATTAATGTTGAGTAGAAAAGACTATGATGCCCTTTATTAAATGAGGTATCCTTGGGGAGTTGGGGGTGGAGGGTGGTTGGGGGTAATATGGGAATGAATGAGAGGTGGTTGATGGGACACACACTACTCTAGAAGTGCTTATATTCCAGTACAAATTCCAAATGCTAGAAGTGCTTACATTTTGAAATAGAGAGAATACTATTTTGTCTGCTTGAAGTCATTGAGTGTCTTTTTCTGGAAGATAGTTGGGGTGGACCTTACCAAGGGGTGAGGATTGTATTATTATAATATTTAATGATACCGAGGAGTGTATTTTGTAGCTAGGGCAGGAGGAAAGGCTTTAAGTCTTTGAGTCTGTTTCATTAAGGAGAGTCATGTCTGAAACTCTGAAAGCAGCATCCTCTTCCATCTGTATTTGTTTAATGGTACTATTGTCAAATAGCAGACAAATATTTCAACAACACAAGGTAGAGGTCTTTTTTGGTCATTTTTAATCTTGTATTTTGAATGGAGTGACAAGTGCCATGGGATGTCACGGAACACAACAGGTAGCACTCAAGTTGTGAGAGAAGAACGGATGGTCTTAGTTTTCTAACATCATTATTTCTCTATAGAGCACACTGATCGGATGTTACATGTTATTTTTTTTCATTCACATGATTGCATCACAAGATACACACACCCTATAGGAAGAAACTTTTATTGATTGACTTCAATATCATTCCGGAATTCATTTCCTTGCATGAACAAAACCAGGGCAAACATTGTGAAGTTTCAAGTTTATTTATGACAACTTTGATACTGGTTATGTTGACACAGGCAAAAATCCAAAGGACTCAAGGGTCATTATCTTTGCACATTACCGAGAATGCGTCAAGTAAGAAACTATGCAGTAGTCTTTTTCTCTATTATATCAATTTGCAAATTCTTATTTTACACTGAAAATTTGATGCATGCATAATTTTTCTGTGCTGTTCTTTTTGGTTTTGTATTGTTATTAGTTTATTATCATTGTTATTGTTTGCATGTGGGTAGCTTACTAGCTTATCCGATGATAAATATGTTGAAGGCAGAAGCCATTTGGCACCATGTGTTTCACAGGGGTTAATCTATTAGCAATTCTCTTAAACAACTTTTACTGAAGGTATCATGAGAATGGTATTGACGCGTTCTTAGTGAAATTGGACTGACAGGTCATTGGTCTTTCAGGGTTCAATGCAATGTATGTCATGTGGTTTAACTTGATCTATGGAACCACTGATTATCCTGTACCAATTTTAACAGAATGAGTACTAGATGAAATTGTCAAAGAGCAATATGTAGAGAATGCTAGTAGTATGCTAGTCAGATTACCATACATGTTCATTTTATTCATGCCAGCATTGACCAATACTCCAATAGTTACTTTCATAATGTTTATACATAAATGATACCACTCATGAATACACGATTCACATTTCCAGTGTGATATTCTAAACCCTTGTGCACAAGTATAAAATAATTTATAAATGGAATCAGAGGGAGTACTGAATTAATACATGGAAACCTACAATGTCAGGACAGAAGGAAGTTGTGTTTGATAACAGCAATAGCTCATATTAAACATGGACACCAAATGGATAGTTGGAGGCAAGTCAGCTTGGGAAAACTAAGCTTTACATCTTTTTGTCAACATCTTAAATCTTCTGATCCAATTTCTTTACTTTTCTTGACAACCAGCTATAATTTATAAACGGCGAATTAAGGCATACTAGTGCTGAACATGTCACTATGCACTGGATATGCATATTTTACTTTCATTTGTAGGGGTTGGTTTTAAGTCAGTTAGTGGGTCTTGCATCTTTTAAACAGTTCCCTATCAACTATAGCTAGCATTCATGTCTTAGTTTCTCTGTGTTGTTTTTAAGACTCAGGATGCCCTATAATTTTGTTGAATTTTCTGTGCTATTGTGTATATCTCCTTGCTCCAGCAAACAATCTGTTTGTTATTTTAGCTGTGCATCAGAAACAATGTACATTCGTGCTTTGCTTAATTGTCTGTCAGAACCAATCTATTATATGGCTTGAATGTTTTGTTATACTGTGAAACACAGAGAAATATTGTGCTCCCTAAGAAATATTGATGGTGAACTTGTGAGGCCTGCTGCATTCATTGGTCAAAGTTCTACAGGTATGATAATGTGTTATCGGTGATCAGCTGAGATTTAATTGTAGATCACTGATTTCATAGAAGTATGATTTTGAAACATATGATCTATAGTTCTTTACTTTTTATTTCAATATGCTAAGTTCTTCAATTAGAATATGTGTTCTGGTCTGATTTTCATTCTCCAGGAGTTTGTAGCATTTTGGATGGTAATGACCATACGAAATAAACATAGTGGTCTCCTACATTTTCCTTTATCCAAGTAGTTTAGTGGTAGTAATATTCTATGAATGGAGCATTTATGCATTTAAACATATGAATCATATGATGTGTTTATTTATTTCAAGTTTTTTGCCTTTAGGTGATCAACTGAAGGGCCAGACACAGAAAATGCAACAAGCTATTTTGCATGTATTGAACTATATACTCTGCTCATCCATGATTTGCATTTTTTTCTTCTATCTGACTGTAAATTGTTTACAGAAATTCCGGTCTGGGGAATACAATATTTTAGTGGCAACATCAATTGGTGAGGAAGGACTAGATATTATGGAGGTTGATCTTGTGGTTTGTTTTGATGCCAACATCTCCGCATTAAGGATGATTCAACGTATGGGAAGGACTGGAAGGAAGAACGAAGGGAGAGTTGATATCCTTTTTTTGGTTGGTGAAAATTGAAAATTGCCAAAGTGCCGCAAAAATTGCATTTTTTAAATGTATTTCTCTCTCAGGCATTGGTTACCTTAACTTCCCAAACTGGTTTTGGCTTGTAGCGGACAGGAGATGAAAGGGTACTTAAGTAAGCAAGGAAATACTAAAACTATGAAGAAGTTATTGCGTGATCGTCGCAGATTTGAATACCATGATAGTCCTAGGATGGTAATTCTTTTTATCATCGTGTTCATAAAGTTGCTTCTTAAATCTGGAGGAGCTAATTGCGTAAATTCATGATGCACCCTATAGGTTCCACATGTTTATAATCCAGAAGTTAAGTTTGTTGAATTATCCATAGAGAAGTATATTCCTTGCTCAAAGAAAAGCAAAGTTGATGTGAATGTCGCATCTCCAATCTTTAATAAGATGTCAGAGGATGATGGTCGATTGATTGCTCGGTACTTTGGTGCATGCAAAGAAGATTTCTGGAAGCCATCTCTTGTTACATTTCCTAGCTTCCAGGTTTCACCATGTGATATCTACAGAGTGCCACATTCGTTCCGAACAACGAACATGCTAATTGATGCTATGCAACAACTTCAAGATCTTTCTTTCTCTAGGACAAAGGTAGATTCATTGAAGATCTGTGTGACTTCTCTGTAGTCATTTAGAAATGAAAACAGAAGTCCTAAAATTTTCTGAACACCTTTTCAGTGTGCAAGCCCTTTGGAAGGACCTGCTGATGTACCAGTTGTAATGGATGAGGCACCCGAAGGTCAGTGCTTGTCATATCCTTCCCATTTTAGTTTACTCAGTTCATGATATTAATTTTGCAATGTTATCAGATTCTAAAAATGGTTTACTGGTTCCATATATAGTTTCTTTGGGCCTACGGTTTCTTTAATAAAATCATTTTTTTTATTTGAGAAGATCAAAGAAGAAATTACAATTTTGAAAGGAAGCAGGGCTGTTTAAAACTAATGCCGAGTAGCCTCCTATAGAGGTTGGGGGTAGTTTTTCCTTGGGTGGTTGGTTCTTCTTCCACCGTCGATGGCATTCTGTCAGTTCCCGGCAAAAAAAAAAAGGATTTTTTTTATTCACTCAGCTTATTATTGTGCATGCAGAGTTTTAAGCTTGCTCTTTTCTGATTGATATATGACATTCTAAACCTGTGAACCATTTATAGGCCTATTCGGTGCTGATGGATCGAAAGAGGTAATTCCCCAGGAATATTGTGGTTTGGAAGTTTTATCCGGTGAAGCTGCATGGAGTAAAAATGTTCTCGTACCAAGTTTACCGATTAAGAAATATCCTGTCCACTCTTTCTTCAGTGGAGATTATGTAGCCATGGATGTTAGCGGTTATGTCTCAATCACCTTTGTACCTGCTCTACCGAGGACATCTGAATTCCATAAGGATGCCAGGAATGTAAATTGGCACCAAAAGGTCCAGAACAAGACCACGTCCGTCAAATTGGCTGCTGACATCAGTAGACCAACGATTGAATTCGATTGCCTTGCAGGTTTTGCTTATTCAAGTAAACCTATCCTTACAGATGAGTTTGGTTTAGTTCCCCATTCACCTGAATACACTGAAAGATATGGCCGCACTGATGACAGACATGTACATGGAACTCCACCTCCTAAAACATTGGTAAGTCCAAAAGAAATATGCCACAAACCCTGCAATTCTAAACCAGTGAGCCCAGGTCTGTCAGGTCAAGAAGATATGGAGCTTAGTCCAAGACTAACATATTATATTGAAGAAGGAATTGTTCCTGAGTCTCCGATGCTTGAAGTTGGCCACAAACATTTAGAGACAGACAGTGCTGCAAATGCTGATTTTGTGCAGCAAAAGGTTGATTTTTCAAAATCACACAGTGAGGGAGCAAAGGCCAATGAGTTGAAATCTAGAAATGGACCTCTGAACTTTGAGGGGAAAGGGCAATTTTTTTCTGAGATATCCAAACTTGCTGTCTCACCAGGAGAGAATGCCCTAGATCAGACTCAAGCAAACAAAGAAGAGCGGATGCATCCATCAAATGTGAAAATACATAGTCCAGCTGCTCATACTCCAATGGCAAATCTACTATGTGATAGTTTCTCTGATGATTGGCAGCTTAGGTCAGGAGGGGACACACCAGGGTCAGTCCGGGAAGCACCCAAGTACAAAAGACTTTGCAAATATGCTGACAAGATCAAAAGAGTTTCCTCCATGTCTTTAGATGACAGATATGATATTGCTGCTGGAGGAAACCACAATTTTGCTACCAAAAGTATGTTAAACCTTACACACTATTAGTGAGTTGAGCCTCTTTCGTGTAATTCTCTTTAATTTTGCAAGTTTCTATTTAGGCTTCTTAACCTTATACTATAATCACAACTTTCAAATCTCTCTTTTTTTTGTGCATATATTTGATAGATTCCTTTTGATTCCAAATCTAGGAAACAAAAGGAGGGCCAAGATGTGTCTGGATACCTTTATTGATGATGAAGCTGAGTATGATTTCTAAAATCTTTTATATAATATTTAGCAAACAAACTAAAGCTGGTCCTGTAACTATTAGTAGAGCTTACCAATATGAATCATTGTTTAGATTAATTTATAAATGTCTTACATGCACTAGGGTGTCTGAAGATGCTGATGTTTCAGCGGATGAGGGTAATGATCATAGTGAAGATAATTATGAAGACAGTTTTATTAATGACCAGGCTACTCCTACGGGCCAATTTACCCAAAGCGTACATCATGGTGAAAACAGTGGTGACATGATGGCCTTCTACAGGTATTATTACTTGATCAAACAACACTTTTTAATTTCTACCCATGTGTTTGTTTTGAACAATCCTGCTTGTGTCATTCTTTCTGCCCCCCAAAAAAGTGCTGTTGGACATGTCCCTTGTGCGGTTGCAATTTCAACTTTTCATGGTTCGATATCTGTGAAGTCATCAGTACAGTCCCAAATTACAGTATATTGCTTTACAACCGATTGGTTGTAGTGGAGCTGTACAATTGCCAGTTGGGCTTTGGGCGCATCTGCGATTAGATTAATTTGAATAAGCTACTCAGTATATAATGCAAAAAACTAGCAGCATTTCTATGTTCGCCTAGAAGTTCTGAAGTTGTAATCAAGTATATAAATTTATTTAAATTTTTGTACATTGAATACCTAATGACAAAGTGGCTATTATGACACAAACTAGCTTATCTTATCTGTAAGAAGTTTGTACATCAGCCATGTTGGAAACTCGGAACCAGATAAATGTGGAGTGAGCATTATCCTTTTTCAGTTCAACAGTAGCCAAGATTTTTGTATAGATGAGCATCGCTGTGGCCTGTGTTCATGTTTCTGTACTTTTGATTAAATTTGCTGAAAGAAACTTTGAAACTCAATTTCCATCTGATGTTTTTTGCAGGCGGTCGCTGCTTACTCAGACCCCAATAGTGCTGCCCTCAAGGTACCAAGATGTCCCTGACAATTCTGCTTCAAGAAGCGGAAGCGCAAGTGCGAGCTGTTCTTCAGAGAACTTGCACAATTCTATGGAGACTCCACAAGGGATCCATCAACCACACCACACCATTGGCCCTAGTCCTCTAGGGGACCAACAAAGCTTTGTGGCTAGGGCCAGCTCAATAAAGGAACAAGGTGAAACAAGTCTAGCCCATTGTGAGTCATCCACCACATTAGACTGCAGAAAGAGGAAGCTAAGTTTCCAACAAGCTGCCTCCATCCCTGTTATAAACCTTGAACCGGAACTGGCACCGGCACCGGCACCACAACCTTCCTCACACATTACTACTGGAGTCAACAATAACTTCGTTTGGGACGACGATGATTTCTTCGAGAGCCTTGATCTCGATGCAATCGAAGCACAAGCGACCGAACTCTGGAGACTCAAGAAAGAACAATCCACACAGAGATCCTTTGGGAACTAGGCAAGCATCAGAGATAAGCCTTCTCCCCTTTGATTTAGGGATCTGAGATCGTGAGAGCTCATGCTGGTGAAGAGTCATTCAGAATGTTTTATCTAGCTGTTGGACCAGATCATCCTGGACCATGGTCAGGAATCCTGGGATGGCTACAGCATCAACCTACCAGCCCGATTACTCGTGGGCTTTTCAAGGTTTGAGCTTGCAGATCACAGTATCAGGCAACAAGATATTCAGGTGAACACTGTTTTTCCGCCCATAATTACATCCTATACCATTGGGATATTTATGGGGAGCTTGGAAGATCAGGACATGACGAAGCGAGTTTTGTAGGGGCATGGACTGTTAATATGAATGTATGTATGTGCATACATCCCGTACATATTTATACACCCTGTATCACACTAGTTTTCTCTCTGTAAATATAAGTTCTTTTGCTGTATACTTCCAACACCTCGTTGGATAAATGTTCTTCTGATAGCCTAGTGAGCAGTATGGCTTCTGCTTGGATGGAGCCATGGTCGCAGCTCCTTGCTGCTGCAAGTGCTTGCTTTTGCTTGCAAGGTATGGCATAGTATCTTTTTTTTTCTCGCCTCATGTGGTATATAGCAATAGTTGCTGGTGGTTGCTGCACAGAATCAGCAGGAAAATAGCAGTAGTAGGACACTATTATCATTATTCCGTACCTGTCAATTCCGTGTCGATCTTAACGTGCAAGGTTCGGCGACAAGCTCGATAGTGTTGTTGAAGTGTGAACGTGTAGATTCTGGCACATGCATTAATTCCCTCACGCGTTTCTTCGTCTCGCTCTCAACTGTCACAACTCTCATCACTACATCTATCAACATACCACAACACGAGCGCATAATATCTCAAATCTCTCGCCTCGCACGCAATGCAGGTTATGTTTGGCACGGTCTAGATCAGCAAAACAGTTTCAGCTTTAGTTTCAACTCTACCTAAAAAGAAAACGAGCTGGATAGAGTTCTCACACAAAATAAACTAAAGAGGTAGAGCTGGGTTTAGACAACTCCACAACTTCAGAGCTAAATTTAAAAGTTAGAACTCTACCAAACATGCCAGTAGTAATTTACTGCGCCGCATATGAGCTTAATATTTCTCTAAAAGTGTACTCAGGTCCCGTTCTTTTTCGAGTAAAATATAGATTTTACCTCGATTTCATTAGCACGTTTTTAAACTATTAAACCATGTATTTCGCGTGAAAACTTTCCATATAAATGTTGCTATAAAATATCAGATAAATATGTTTCCAAGTTTATAATAATTAAAACACTACTGATTATGTGCTAATGGATTTCTCGTTTTTTTTAAAGATAACTCCATCTTTATCTTTAGGGCATGTACAAAGGTAGAGTCGGATATGAGCTCTACGTTATTTAGAGTCGGATATGAGCTCTACGTTATTTAGAGACTAGCATCCTACAACAGTTAGAGACAATATGGTCTCTAATCATTAATGTATCAAAATACTTTTTCTTACTTTTATTTTCTTTCTTTCACCACCATGCAACAAAATTTGCTTTAGTAAATGCTAAGAGTCGACTCTGAGTCGTTGTCATGCATAACAACCATACTCCTTTCTCTTTCCTACATGTCACCAAATTTACTTGCATGGTAATAGAGAGAGACCACTAATAAAAATCGTTGTACATGCCCTTAGTAGAAACAAACGCCACCTTTATACTAACAATTTAGTGCTAATAACAACGTTTAACTCTCATATCACAACTTTAACCGATAGTACTTTTTTATATTGGTCTAGAGTTATGTTTTGTTGGTACAATAGTCATGTTGTTGGATTCTCTTTCATAACAGCGTGGAGGACTCATATTAGCTTTCGGAAAAAAAAAACAATGGTTGAAGTCAGTATGCTCAATAAAACGTTGTCATTCATTGAACAATGGAGTAAAATACTAAATCCAATATCCATGGTTGCAAAAGTTACTGCAGTATCAAAACACATTGACAGACGACAAAAATAGTACGAGTAGTACGAAGTACTGTACTACATAACTTTGTACTTGTGAAGTGTCAAACATGGAAAAGTAGTTATACATGTCAATGATGAGAATATGAGATGAGTATTCCTGCGACTGCCCCATCGCCAAACATCATACTTGTAAATAAAAAATAATTTATAAATAAAACTTTTATGTATGTGTTCCTAACAATCCAAAAACAAAAACAAAGATGATTGAAAAATAAACTTTAATGAAAAACTTTAAAATCAGCTTCAAATTTAAAGTTAAAAAATTAAATTGTTTAATAAGTATAAGCATAAAATAAAATGAGGCTCGTGGTCTGAACAGAGAGATTCTGGGGTGACAATTACGAGCGATGAAAATAACATTTTCTGATGGCGTATCATGGAGAAAGTTCTTCCCTGGTTTACCAGTAATACTACGTAAAGCAACGTAATGGCCTGCAAGGAACAGACACCGCCGGCGTTATTTGTTTAATGATCCTTATTTCCATGTTGAACAAATCAATGTGCATGTGTGCTGTTTTGATGTCAGAAATTAAATTGAAGTTGGTTAGAATATTTTGTTTCTGTCGTGTTCAGAGAATAACATGGCACATGGACGACCTGTACTCAGATGTTCTAGCTTGTTCTTTTAACTTGATCTACCTTAATCCCTAAGATATTAGTATTAATACACTACTATAGCCACGTCAAGCATAGGCGCTTCTAGGGGTGGTCCCAGTACCACCCAAAAAATCCTATCCCAATACATATATATTTATATATATGCATATGAGAACATAAATCTTAAAAAAAACTCTTTTATTATTATATTACTATGTATATTTGATCAATTTATACTTTTAACTTAGTTATATTTAGGGTATTTAAAAAATTATATAAGTTAGACCACCCATACATACGCCACTGACGTTAAGTCACGATAGTTTTCTGTAATATCACAATAAACCTACTAGTACTTCTAGCCATTTTCGTCTAATAATCTTCTGTGTCACTTCCAGTAATCCCTAGAGCTAAAAACCCTAGGGAACAGCCAAAAACTCTAGGGATCGGGTTTCCCTACAGTGAACCCTAGGGAATGGCCCATAGGGAAGCATTCTACGGGAACAAATTGATTCCCTTGGGTTTTCTTAGTAGAATCTAGGGAAAGAAGCTTTCCACGTGTTCCAAAATGTAGGGATTGAATGCCACCTGGACAGAAAAAATCCAACGTGGAAAGTGGTACGGCACCCTAGGGAACATTTTTATTGGAGTATTTCATTTAGAAATTAATGCAGATTAATTTAGCTCTTAATTAATCATTGATTAGTTTTATTTGTTTATTTTATTTCTTTTGCAAACAAGCCAGTAAGCATTCCAATCATATTTTTGTCAACTTGCTTGAACAAAAAATATATATACTGCATTATAAAGTTAATCTCAACAGTAAAAATTGGGAGTACATGCAGAGTTGCCCATCGAAAAACAAAAGAAAAAAACACACACGCAGAGGGAGAGTACATCCAGAGTTGAAAATTGACGAACACTTAATAGATCGTGGCTTTGCTCTCTCAAAAGACAAAATAAAACACAAATATAGCCTTCTGCAGTAGTTGTATCCAATGCGAATGGTACGTAATAGCACTTCCAGAAGTCATCAAGCTGCAAAATGAGTAGGAAGGTTGAAGAAAATAAGAACTTATGGAAATCTGCAGCTACATATATATATATATATATATATATATATATATATATACGTGGGATTCTCTATTTGTTCAATATAATAAGCACATGATTTCTAGCTTTGATTACTAACCGCAGTAATAAGTTCTTGACTTCTCGGCCTTACCGATCTGCATCAAGCACCGAATCCATCAAAAATCAAAACTTCAAAATATGCACAGGAAAATATCTGCTCGAGTATCTTTGCTAAATGCTAACTAGAGAGCAGCTCGGCAACACCACGCTGCACAGGTCGCCGTGGCCTTGATTCACCCCTGTCCCGGCGTCGCCTCTCAGCCGCAAACAAATGCAATCAGCCCACGCCCACCACGGCCTTCAGGAGTGCTGCTGCAACCACCCTCGAAGGTTGAAGCTCCTGTCGATCTCTACTACTTGAGAGTAGATTTGGTGGTGGAGACTGGAGAGGGAGTTGATTTGGGGAGGAAGAGATGAAAGAACATGTTGAAGGAAGAAGAAAGGGGAAAGTTTAGCAGCTTGGGGTACTTTATTACTTTCCAATGGAAAGCGAATATGGTGTCAGTCCAAATTTTGGATTCACAAGGCGGGAGAAACTATTACAACCTTTCCACATGGTTGGTTTCTGAAAAAGTCAGTGGACCCTGCCACCGTGGTTCTCCTATCAGTGCCAACTGTACTAGTTTCCCTATGAGCAAGCAAAAACTCTAGGGATCATCTCAGTTCCCTTGAGTTTTAGTTCCGGCTCTAGGGAACTTATTATCCCCTTGGGTTCTAATTAGGGCTCTAGGGAACATTTGAAAACCCTAGGGACCCCGTGGAATTCCAGTAGTGAAGAGAGAGTGGTGTTAGCAGTTAACTTAAGAAGAAAAAAAGAATTCCTATGTGCCTATTGGTTAGATCATGAAAACTAATTAAGGGATCTAGTACACTCTTACCATAGGTAGCCAAATGGCTGATGCCCACCATCTCTTTCCATAATCTATTACACAATCTTTGTAATGGTATACATCAATTGATTGATCAGTAGACTATTAGCCAACAGTATCCATGCTGGTTAGTTTAGGTACCAAATAAGGGGAAGTTGGTAGGTAGGTAGGTAGGTACACACCACAGGGCTTCTAGAACCCAAGGAACCAAAAGGACCAGCTTGGAGTTGGAAAAGTTGCTCCAAAACAAAAATGATGAAACAAAAGGACCAAAAAGCATCTCCAAGATTAAATTTGGTAGTAGATTGGATTGTGCACTATTAGGTGAGACATCAGTGTTAATTAGTGGGTTAGCCTAGCTATAGTTGCTGGCCTTTTATTTTGTCCTGAGGCCAACATGAAAACTACCTCAGCTAGCTACATTATCTCTTTGTCCATTTACCAGTTGGAATGGTTGTCAGTACGTCCAATATGCTCCCAACTTGTCCCCATCTACGGTGAAGCTGTACATACATTTGTATGGCCATTCATTATTTCATTAAAGATTACTCGCAAAAAAAATATTATTCGGTTAAAGGATTTCAGGGTATACACATATTAGATAATAACTCTATTTCTAGATATAGTTCATGTACGCTCCTTTAGCTGATCAGACGGCTATCCCGATTCAGTGTAAAGCATACACCGTGGATAGCTAAAAGGGTAATTTTACCACCTTGAAAAAGTACCAGGAGGTACGGCACTTTTTAATGTAATATTTGGTACGTATCTTGAGGTAGCAAAAATTTAGCGTAAAATTTAGATACTTTGAGATACTATTTTAAGGACTATAAAATTTCTCCATTTAAAAAGGTACTGATAATTAGTAAGAACCCTTAACTGTCTAACCACGATAGCTAGCGCCGTTAGCTCTTTCACGGAGTACATAAAAGGTAAATTATTGAAAGCAATTATTTAACATATCAACTGCCGTGAGTTGAGCCATCACGTAGTACTCTCTATCCGATGCTCGTTAATGCGTCCATCAATTACAATATATATCTAGCTTCGTCCTAACATAACATGAGTACACATGACTACTGATGGATGTTTACTTCCGTTGTGCTGTGTTTGTTTTTGGGACCAAATTAACCTAACGCAAAGCTCATGTCAAATGAATAACTCTTGTTTCAACGACAACATAAAGTCGCATGCTGTACAATGGCCCGCTTGATTAAGGCTAAAAATCAGTGTCCAAAAAACCGTACGATCGATGCAAAACTGTACCATGTTACGGACTTACTGGTAAGGTTTCAACTTTCAAACATTATATCAGCTGGGTCCGTTTAGATTATACAATAATATATATTTCGTACTTATTAAGAAAACTAAAATGTTTTTGAACAAAATTAATGCATATATAGTAAGTGGGGGCCTCGCTCTCTTAATTATCTCCAACCAATATTGATGAGTTCTTGGTTTAATTATGCCTAGTACGACGACCTAAGTGTATTATGTTGTTGTTTGCTAGGGAATTCACAATGATATACCAACCATGTGAAGTCTATCATAAATTCATATTGCATATCATAGGGACATCATTATAGAAGCTGACCTGCCAGTTGCAATAATATTACAAGCGCTGCCGAATAATAAATTTCATCGTCACTTTCTCTGCTTTTTCCCCTCCTGAAACAGGGCAAATTGGATTTAAATAAAAGAGATTATTCTAACCATTTGGTAGAAGGAGACATTTAAGAGCCAAAAATAGAACAAAGAAACTCCAAATCTTGGAACGTTGCGAGAGATATGATTCCGGCATATCCAAAAAGTATATAAACCAGTGTCATCGAATAAATTGGTGACCTAGACTCTAAAGTCAACGAGCCGATTGGATCATCGACAACGCGATAGATAAAACTTCCTATGTCTTTATAGAAGACTATAAAACGTGACAAATAAGTAGGCACCAACAAAGAAAGAAACAACTCTTAAAAAAATAATTCTATCAACACCGTAGAAAAAACTAACTTTTATATATAATAGATCTACCAAAGAATTTATGTGGAAAAAACTTTGGAACTTACTTAGAAACCATCAAGCTGGCTATCAGAGGGCCGGCAGTGAGGCGGAGTTCATCATTTTATTTTACTCTTATCTCTGTTCATTTTCCTCTGATTTTCTGATGTGGAATCACTTTGGTTGGTCACAATACTATATTTATTTAATTGTTTTCCATAAGTTGGTCAATTTCTCTCACACATGCATCCTCAATTCTGTTACCAACTTAGATTGCATCTACATATCACGCCATTAATAACTATGAACACTTTCATCGGGAGTGCCCTAAAGGAACATTATTATCTGGCACAAATCTAGCTAAGTTGTCATTTCTAAAAGAAATCTTGGATGTTTGACAAGATCATTCATGTAGCACGCTTCTTTTGTTCACAGTGTTTGTCTATACCCATCACACGTCTCACTACTTAATTGAATCAAAATAGACGATGAATAAATAGATCGAGTAACAACTTTATAAATGTGTATAGCTTAATGCTTAAGTAAACCAATTTTCCACACCTCACCGCCAGAAGGAAATTTTTGGGAACCAATGAAAGTTAAATTACAACTACATCATACCATTCATATGGGAGCACTCTAATCTATCAAGGAAGCTGACTAAGTGACTATCAGTAAACACTTTTACTACTGACACTCGATGTGCCAGCAGAGTCTGAGGGGTCCAACTCTAGACAAAAGTATTAATCAATTATTAGCAGCGGTAATTAAATTCCATGAGTGAGAGAGAAAAGTAACAAAAGAATGAATAACATATTTTCCAATTATTAATAGTGGTTATTTAAAGTCTACGAGTGAGATAGAGAATTAAGAGAAGAAATTAAGAAGAACACACACACACACATATATATGTATATACTCCCTTCCATTCTAAAATATAAACACATCCTAGCAGTTTTAGCAAATATTAACATTGAGTAGAAAAAAAATGTTACCCTTATTAAATGGGAGATGGTTGATAGTAGACGAGGGTGATTCAGGATAAAACATGCATGAAGAAAATTGAATGTGGATGATTAATTAAAAAAAATACTCAAGTACGTTCAGATACGTAGGCTCAAATAAATACTTTTTTCAAGGACAGATAAATTAAAAGCTAGGCTCAAACAATTAATCGACCAAGCAAAAGGTTTAAACACCAAAATTAAGCAAAAGGGCCATTAGACAATAAGACAAAGCATTTAATTGTTGATTTAGAATTATGAAGCAACCACCAAGCGTAAAACTCCTGACAGAACTGATCTACATGCATGCATGACCCGTATACGTAGTACGCACCAACCACGACGACGAGATCACGGAAACGCTTCGTTTTCGCTCGGATTCGGTTCGATTTGATCTTGATCGAGTCAAAATTTAAAATCTGCCGTACTGGTGATGGTACTTTGGATCGCTTTACCTGCGTTTTTCTCGAAGGCTGTCTTTTCGTGTGTACGGACGGCACGATCGATCGTACAGATAAGTGTCATCTGGTCTAGGGTTATTGTTGTTATTAAGGATTAGTAGCTGGGATCGTCAATGGTAGATGAGTTTCGATTCAAAGCTTCCAATTGACAAAAATCGGGGTCGTCAATGCCAGTTTTTTTTTAGATAATGAAATAAATAAATATCCCGGCATTTACTCAAAAGAGCTACAGCCAATTATTACATAGAAGCGTTTGACGAACATAGGGTAGATCTAATTGAATAGAACACACCGCAAGGAACAATAAAGAATCCAGTCTAATATAAGGAGATTACAATTATTGAAGTCTATTTGTAAATCTCCAACCATAATTGGCAAAAAATTACATAACCGTAGTCTCCAACTTCCGACATGCAACTTTCAGAAACTCTTCATCATCTCCACACCTTTGGTCGTCAATGCCAGTAACCGTACGCTTGCTTGCAGTCGCGTCAGTCAGATGGATGCTTCAGTTTAGAGACTTTTACGGTTCATGGTACTACGTACTCCCCTCGGTCCCAGAAAGGCCCATTCCTAAATCCTAAAGAAAGATTAGTGAAGAGTAAAAATGACTAAAATACCCCTCATTGTTAGAAAAAGTAGTAATTTTAATCAGAAAGCTTATACAACGGTATCTCATTGGAACGGGATACCCTTCTATGAGATAGTACCTGGTACCTAATACAATGGGATACCCTTATACGAGGATACCTGATACCTGTTGTGGTACCAGGCTACCAGTTGCATGGTACCCAATACCTGTGATACCTGTTACCTCTGTTGTGGTACCAGGCTACCAGCTGCATGGTACCTAATACCTGTAATACCTGTTATCTGGTATCTGTGATACTCGTGCAAGAGAATAGTTAATATATCTATCCCGTTGCAACTAGATCTCGTTTTGTAGCGGTCCTCATTTTAATAGGTAGATAAAGGATATTTAAAGGAGAAAACTTCTCGTTTTATGTGCTGAGGTTAGGTAAGATGGTAAAAGTTAATTTTTTTTTGGACAAAATTTAAACTTCAGAATGAGTTTTTTTAGGACAGGAGACTAAGAGGGTAAGGGAGAGATTACCATATTATTTTAAGTAGTAAATCATATTAGGTAGTATTTCTTTTTAGAAACACAATACAAACATAGATGCTCACACACCCTATCTTTATAAACACACATCCTATCCCTACCTTTAAAAAATTGGATCGGCATATCTTGATATTGATAAAGTCATTATGGGCACATCGCTGTTGATAGGTACATCGTCTACCAATTTAAACCTAAGGAACTGGTTTCACAACAATCAGTGCTTTCTCGCAGAGTTTCTCCCGTTCTTGTTATGCTCTAAACTATTATTATGTTTTTAAGCTTCATTCGAATAAAAGCTTTTTCCATTGAACAAAGTAGTAGTGTAGTACCACAAATTCCCTCCTCGCTTACATGTGCGTGCACGATTCCTGGCGGGTAAATAAGGGTAGCTAATGACGCCATTACATCATGATTCATAAAAGAAACGGTGCTGATTAATTAAATATAAGGGTGAACGAGTCATCTTGGTCCCAATCACTGTTCTTCCTTTTTCTCCTACAGTTTCTACGGCTAGTCCATCTCTTGACTCACCTCCATACTGTACCATGCATGAACAACAAGGTTCGATGTTTATAATTTAATTTTCACTGGTGACGTGTCTGACAACGAAGAGGAAAAAAGGGGCAGAGTAAATGTTTGTCTTTTGTTGTGTCCGCTAGGGAAAACTTTCCGGTGGAATGGGGACATCGCTTGAAAAGTTGTGCACCAACTGCTCTTTTGTTACTGTTGCCTCGTCTTGTTAATGTGATGCTGCATTGACCGGCCTGAACGAGTGAATGGCCAAGTCGTTCCTTCAGGTTATTCTTTCTGGATTTTGGAAGAGTTGTGACCCGGTCAGAGATAGATGAAGAAGCGGATCAATTAATTTAGTTTTAATTATTTTAATCTTAAAAATAAATATATATTTGATATTTTAGCAACTTCTATAAAATTTCACATGAAACACACTTTTTAGTGGTTTTAAAAACTTTCTAACGAAAATTGAGATAGAATGTGTATCTTAAACATAAACGAACAGGATTATATCACGGAATTGTTCAAGGCTCCTCAGAGTAAACCAGATGGTTGGTGATCACTCGATTAAGATGGTTGTCAAGCCTCTCCGAGTCTTTCCTTGGGTTAGTCTGATCGGTTGGCTTACAACTGATAAAATGTAAAACAACATACAAACAACTAAAAAAAATTTATAGACAAAACTTTTCTACTATATTATTTGCGATTTAAAAACCAATACTAAACAATAAACTATGATAAAAACTCACAAAATTAACTCTTAAAATTAAATTTTAAAATTAAAATTTTGGCAACGGCTTATAACCTAAAAATATAAATTGATGGGAAGAGGGTTTAGGACATGCTTTTGCACAAATTTTGAAAGATCTTGCATGACTATGTCGTTAAGAAGTAATTCTCATGATATTGTTACAGTTTTACCAAGTTTTACTAATAACACATCAAGAGAAATTAAAAGCTATAGTTGTGATTAAAAGATTATGGCCAGCTTGTTTGCAACCAATTTTATGATTATAATTAGGGTTTTTCCGTTGTTTTAAGTTACTTGGTACTTTTCTAATGCTAAGAATAGACGTGCAAGTATCAACATAAATTATTTTCTATTGCATCGGTTACATATCTTCAGCTTATAAAGCCATAGCTTAAAAAGATAGCTTCCATTCAGCCTTGCATCAACATCGAAAAGACATAATCTCTCTCTCCCAGAATATAAGAAGTTTTAGGGTTGGACACGGTTATTAAGAAAGTAGGTAGAAATGGGTGGTGAAGGGTTATGATTGGATGAGTAGTGGAAGTAGGTGGGAAAAGTGAATGGTGGAGGGTTATAATTGGTTGGGAAGAGAATGATGGTGGAGAAGTTGTTATATTTTGGGACAAATCCTGGGAAGTAGTAAAATACTTTGTGGCATGTGTTTACTGGGTACTCCCTCCATCTCAAAAAAAAAACTCAACCTAAGCGGCGATGTGACAACAATTTAGATAAGTGGCGATGTGATAACGAATTTGTTTAGATTCGTTATATTGGGAGCTCTTATAGGTTGAGTCTTTTTAGAGGGAGGAAATACATTATTGCTGATCGGTGAAACTCTTGTGGATTCGACAAACTAAAGGAAACAATCCCCAAAATTGTGGTAGCCTTGCACCTTCTTGCACCTTATTGCGTCCTAGGCTCCTACTCCTACACTACCACTCTACTACTTGTACTAGAGAAATGGAATTGGTATAACAGAAGCAGGGGCAGTACAGGGTGCAGGTAAGCCAATTTATTGAAGCAGATGCTACCTACCTCTTGTTGGATTTGGCCCAAGGTGCATGGAGGGAGGGTAGTAGCTCAGCAGCATCTCATCTCATTCATTGACACACCTTTATTATTACACCACCATTGCTGCTGCTGCTGCCTGCTGCCTGCTGCATCTCTTCTCTTCCCTTTCCTTCTCTTGGCTTCCCTTCCCTTCCTAGGAATGCCCCATGAGTACACCAGGTCTACATCCACAGCTCCATACACCTGTGTGACAATAGACAATAGTTAAGTTGCTGAAATTTCAAAAAGTAATATAATTCTAGCAATGTTTCACTTCAAAAAAAATATATAATTCTAGCAATGTGACATCTTGCAAACACCAAATTAATAGCATAGAAAAGAACAACATTTTGCCTACCGTTTGGCCTCCGACTGTTAGATCCATGGTGTGACACTCTGCGACTGTTGAACAATTGCACTTAGATTGATACAAGGGACCCGGCCACCCGCAATTCAGAGACATTAGCCAAGGAGGCAATAACACAGCCTATTTAGTGCAAGTACTGGCACCAACTACATGTTACTATCTTCATTTTGCAATGTTGTTCCATAGACTAAAAATATATACAAGAAAAAATAATGAGAAAAGACAATGTATACCACCTACAGAAACATACTCCGTATAATATAATCGCCAACCTCTTACAAAGCATTTGGTTACGGGTAAAGAGCAAAATAAATTGCAACAATAATATATTGGCATTGGTCTTCTCAGTAGACAAATATTGAGATGGATAATCCAATACCATAAACAACAAATATTGTGAAACAGGAGAGCAGTAACATCTGATGTTGTAGTGCATGAGGACCGGGTCCATGCACAGTTCCATGGAGGGAAAAGAGGGTGCCATTACTGATGAGGAGGTCCTGCCTCCTACTAGTACTCAACTGTGGTGGCCTGGTGTTTGTAGGGGGCTGGCTGGTCTGGTGACTCGCGAATTAATCCAGGTCACAGAATGGGTTTTATTAATAGTCTACGTCTAATATTTATAATTATTATCCAAACATCCGATGTGATAGGGACTAAAAAGTTTTAGTCCCATTTAAACAGAGTTAATTAGGCTTAAAAAATTTGTCACGCAAATTAACTCTTATTTATGTAATTAGTTTTATAAGTAGTCTATGTTTAATACTCTAAATTCATCCGATATGATGCAAATTAGCACTGGAATTGGATTGGATTGGATGGTGTAGGAGGAGGAGAGCATGAGTGGTTGTTGATGGGTGCATTTAAGACTTCCTGGCCTTGACAAAGATACCAGATCTCTGTACTATGGGGACTGGCCACTCAGCTGCCTGCACCCAACAAGGAGGAGAAAACTAACCTAACCTCTGGGAGTTATTTCCACCAATCAATTCCCTAGCTACCCACTTTTCCATGCTCCACATGCAAAGCCGAAGGCCAGGAGCCTCAGGGCACCCGTAATAGTAAAGTAAGGTGTTTTTTATAAAATATGTATATCTCAGCAATAGACTAGATTAATAGTAAACCAACTCAATAGTATGTCTGCATGGGTATCTATAGTTCTCTAATCCATTGCCTCGTTTTTCTCTATAGACTATCTCTAAGTTAGTAGATAGCTTTGCTCTCTCTCTCTCTTCATTTAATCTATTCCAAATAGTAAAATATGCTGACATGGATCTCTTGTAGAGAGCCTATAGATAATCATTACGGGTGCCCTCACCTCCTCTCCAATCTCCATCAATTTGCCTTGCCTCCTCTTCTTCTCATCAGTAGATCTGCATCATGTTTTGGAGCATTTCTTATCTGCACCACAAATGAAGAAACATGGCTGAATGTGACACATATATAGTATAGGGTGACGTGTTTACATCAACGCATAAGCAGTTTTCATGCTAAATAGCTAAATCCTTGCATGCCAGAGCAAATGACAGAAACTCTGAAAGCACCTGCTATGAAAACAATCTTTCAGGATTGTTATTGTCTCAATTGATCGCTTTGGATACCATGCTTGTAGTACTAGTTCTCTTTTTGATGGAGCAGATAAGCACTTTTAACTGTAGTAGATCTGGTGGTATTATCTTTGGACTCATGCAACAGAAAGAATGCAAAGAGTGAGGTTTCATGGCACCAAAAGGGGGGCAGCTGACTGGACCGGAGTACCACGAAAAATATTCTTTAGCACTGTAATCAATGTCACCACCAAACCCCGAATGAGTTTACAATTCTTAAGGATACATCGTTGGAGATTAAACCATTAAAATATTTCTTTTGTTTGAACATGAACAGCTGAGCTTACTCTACTAGGATTACCTGTATTTTGTCCTCTCAAGACTCAAGACTCCAGGATGTCCTCATGGAAATGGAAACAGTCCAACCTTCCTCTATATTCGGGTTTTTTTTTTAAAAAAAAGGAACCTTCCTCTTTAGAATTCAAATATTGCAGCAAGACTAGTTCGAACAGTCCTGCCACCATCATGACCATTTCACTATACAAACTTAACCAAACAACAAACAAAATAGCCATAAAATTGACGTAATACACTCGTGATGATACTGTTGTCGCAACAGCTGGATGTGTGAATTCCGATGCAGCAAGCATGAGTACATGGAATACTCGGCCTACCCTAACCTTACAACATGTACACCAACCAAGAATAAAGTAACGGGTTAAACAAGTGCACAACTTCCTCCATATCAAGAGGGAGGGGAATTAGGAGCGGGAAGGAAGGAGGGGGTAGCTCACCAAATTGATCAGATTCTCCCCTTTCTTGCTTCACCCTTTCCCTTTCTTTGCTTTCTTTCTTGCACAATCACACACACAAAGACATGCTGCTGGGTTTTCTAGAATCTCAGAAAGGAGGGGGAGCTAGCGTGGGGTGCTAGAAAAATGTCGGTGGGTGAGCCTGAAAAAAAGAGGAAAGATTACGGGATTGTAGTAGTAGAAATTAAAAATAAGATGAGAAGCAACGTAGTCTGAGTCAGAGTGAGGGAATAAACACTTTCTATACCCATTAAGCATCGCCATGTGCTGCTGATGTGTGCCCCAAAAAATCTACTAACGTGGAAGTGGGTGTTGAGCCATTGAAGTTTGTTTCCAACTCAGACTTTTTCTTCCATCAAGCAACAGCAATCCCTTGGACCAATTGAAAACCTTGGGCTAGCTCGTGTCCCCTCCTGTCCAATAGAAGGCATGCATGATAGAATCAGGTTTAACTCATTGAATAACAAAGGAACGAAAACATAGTACATGTTGTATATTATATAAAGTACATATAGACGAACAACACACTAAAAATAAACAATACTGATCGATTTATGTGAACGGCATGCATGCATCATCATCGTCCTACTAGCAAAACTAACAAATACCTTATTCATATATCAATACACAATTATACAACACCGTAGATGCTGTAATAAAAAACTTTTTTTTTGCTGTTACCACATACGTATTTCAGAAAGATGTACCATCAAGGACACCCACCAAATCGGAGGCGAAGAAAAACCCCTACCTATGCGCGCCCAACTCACGCATCTGGTACACTCACCGGGTACAACCAACAATCCCATTTCCAAAAACAAATCGAACTGAAAAAAAAATAAAAGATGAAACAATAAACAAAACCAGACACAGAAAAAAGGAAAGGGAATAGGACGAGGAGCACTGGGAGTGAAGTATACCTACCTACCAAATCCAGCCCCGTGGGGGGGAGGGCCTTTGCAAATGGCAGCCACTCAACCAACCTCCGCTCCTCCTCTCGTCTCATCGCACCAACTCGGTCAAATGGCCCAGAGGGATCCGGGTCAATGGGGCCCTCCCCTCCTCTCCCTCTCCCTCGTATAAAACCAACCAACCACCACCCTCCTCTCTCTCCTTGCTCACGAAAAAGCTCCCACAAAGCATCACCTGCAACCAGCCCCCGCTCATCTCCATCTTCCTCCTCCCTCCCTCGCTCCTGTGCTTCTTCTCTTCATCAACAAGAGAGCTTTCCCTCGATCTGTGTGTGTATATATATAGAGAGAGAGGGACTGATCTGGGTGTAGCGAGCTAGGTAGCCTAGCTAGCATGGGGAGGTCCCCATGCTGCGAGAAGGCGCACACGAACAAGGGAGCCTGGACGAAGGAGGAGGACCAGCGGCTCATCGCCTACATCAAGGCCAACGGCGAGGGATGCTGGAGGTCGCTCCCCAAGGCCGCAGGTATATACAACGTCGTACAAAATCATGCTACTCCGGCCATGGCGTGCATGGCGGCGGCGATCATGGTCAGAGGTCGACGGTGACTGACTGAGTGTTACCTGTGTGTAGGGTTGCTGCGGTGCGGGAAAAGCTGCCGGCTGCGATGGATCAACTACCTGAGACCGGACCTCAAGCGAGGTAATTTCACCGAGGAGGAGGACGAGTTCATCATCAAGCTCCATGAGCTTCTAGGCAACAAGTAAGCCTCCATGCCGGCCATCCTGCAAAGAAGATAAATATTGTATTAGCTATATAAGAGATAGAATCATGATCCGATCATGACAACATGGCGATGGATGAATCGACAAGCATATTACTGATCACTGATCGATCGATGTGTGTATAATAACATATATCTATATGGTGTATATGCAGGTGGTCACTGATCGCCGGGAGGCTGCCGGGGAGGACGGACAACGAGATCAAGAACTACTGGAACACGCACATCAAGCGCAAGCTCCTCGCCCGCGGCGTCGACCCGCAGACGCACCGCCCGCTCAATGCCGCCGCCGACCACCACCAGCAGCAGCAGCTCCAGGCGCCACGGCGGTTCGCCGCCGCGCCAGCCGGCCACCACCACCACCACCCTGACCATTTCGCCGTCCTCTCCAACTCGCCGGAGGCCTGCAGCCACAGCAGCGACGACGAGCCCAGCTCCGCCACGCCGCCGCCGCCGCCGCGTCACCTCGGCATCGACCTCAACCTTTCCATCAGCCTAGCTCCTTACCAGCCGCAGGATCAGACCAGCGAGCCGATGAAGCAGGAGGAGGACGACGAAGCGTCAGCGACGGCGAACGGCGCCGGCAATGCAGCGATGACGACGACGGCGACGACGGCGGCGGTGTGCCTGTGCTTGAACCGCCTCGGGCTCCACGGCGGCGAGGTGTGCAGCTGCGGACGCGGCGGCGCCCCCTCCATGCAGGCCAGCACACACATGTTTAGATTCATCACGCCGCTAGGAGGAAGCCACCACAACAGTAGTAGCACAACAATGACATAATTAATTAAGTTGAGGGAGGAGATATATATACACTACTTAATTCGCAATTAAAACCCAGCCACACATGCTTAGCTCTTTGTAATATTCATCAGGAAATGTGATCTCTTTCTCTTTTTTTTTTATTTCCCCTCATTTGCAGCCTCGGCCAGAGTGATCATCATGCTTCATCGATCATCATTCATCAGGGTGACATGGTTCATGAGTTAGTTTTAGTTGTTATTTCTTTCTTGTCTTCCTCTAGTTTCTTTTAACCCATATAGATAGTTTTTTTTAGGGCAAGACATGGGTTGTTGATGATCTACCATTAGATCTAAACATGCCCTTTTGGAGACCTCATAAGAATGCATCACTCAACACATAGCTTTCCAAACACTTTATTTCCCTCATGCATGCTAGTAGCCCTTTTGCAACTTGTTTTTATGTCTCCTTTTATATGGAGATGCTCTTGATTGGCCAAAGATGAGGGAGGTAAGGAGTGAGTGGTACATACTGATGAAAGTGAAGGAGGGTGCATGCTGTGGTTGTGGTGCTGCTGGTGGTTATGGGAAGTTAGGTTTCTTGATGAATGTTTGCAATCACATGAGCAGCCAGTGAGAAAAGGAGGCACAGTTTTTAAAGAAAAAAAATAAAGAAAAGGTTTGTCTTGTAGATAGAGAGGAGGGAGATCAGGGGGCCAGGGGGGAGAGAATGGAGAGCATGTGAGATGCTCTCTCTTTTTTGGGGGGGTTAGGTTGGTAGGTTGGTAGAAGGGATGGGAGAGGTGTTAATGAAGGGGATAAAGTGCCATCTAGGAGGGGGCATGGATTGAGGAGCTTTTGGTTAGTTAATGACTTAATAGTCGGAGCTTGGCTCGTGGTTTGTCCTTAGTCCTTGGGTGGATGCTGGTAACAGGTGGAGGTAATTAGTATTTTAATCATGGATCAGTGCTATAGTTAGCACTTAACTAAGCTAGCTTCAGGCTTTTCTGAAGAGGAGTGGGGGCCCAGGAAGGATGATCTTCAGAGTTAAGAGGATTAAGCACAAGCAGAATGTCAGTGGTCTCCCTCACTGATCACTCTAGTCTCATCCTACCTATGTACACTGGTGGAGAAACCATCTTTCGTCGGTCGGCCGATTTCCACAATAGTCCCGGATGCAATAAAAACCGGGGCTAAAGATGATCTTTAGTCCCGGTTCAAAAGGGTAACGGGCATATTTGATCTTTAGTCCCGGTTTGTGTTACCAACCGGGACTAAAGATCATCTTTAGTCCCGGTTCAAATGCTGTCAGGACCTGTCAGGCCCCCCCGGGATCTTTAGTCCCGGTTGGTAGCACCAACCGGGACTAAAGATCTTAACTTTAGTCCCGGTTGGACTAAAGATCCCGGTGATCTTTAGCCCCGGTTGGTGCTACCAACCGAGACTAAAGATCTTAACTTTAGTCCCGGTTGGTAATACCAACCGGGACTAATGATCCCGGTGATCTTTAGCCCCGGTTGGTGCTACCAACCGGGACTAAAGTCCCACCCCTATATATATGTCTTCTTCCTCCTCCAGCTGCCCGAGCAAGCTTCAAAATTTCTTCAAAAAAGAGGGGAGGTCATGCCAAAATTTCTATTGAATTTATTTTGGTGATTACATACAAATCGGAGGTGCCTAAAAGGTTTGCAACTTCATCCTCCAATGTTTTTTTTGTCATACTACATTTGCACCTATGTTTTGCACACTTTTTTTGTCTCCAAAATTTAGTTGTAAGTTGATGAGAGAGAAAATGTGTGTGGGGAAGAAAGAATATATAGAAATTTAGTTCATTTGCTAAACAAGGTTTTATAAAATAGTTGAGAAGGAAAACTCTAGTGAAAGTTAATATTAAATAATAGAAAACAAACTAAAATAAAAATTAAAAGAAGTAAAACACATTAAAATTAGTTTAAAACTTTACAAATAGTTTTTAAGAATTATTTGGTGTAATATTTTATGATTTTTGTATGAATAAAGATATCTTATAATTATTGTATGACTGTCATTATTGTAAGAATAATTATTTGTGTGCGGTTTTTTTGACTCATGTAGATGGATCGGCAATGGATGTACGCTGACCGGCGGTCCAAAGAGTTTATTGACGGCGTGCACTATTTTTTGAGAGTGGCCGAAGCTAACAGGCAAAGGGGTTTTATTTGTTGTCCATGCAATAAGTGTAAGAATCAGAAGGAGTATTCTGCATCCAGGACTATTCATTTCCACTTGTTTGAGTCGGGGTTCATGCCAAGCTATAATTGTTGGACATCCCACGGAGAGCAAGGTGTTGAAATGGAAGAAGATGAAGTGGAAGACGACAATATTCCGGACTTTGCTCAGTATGTTGGATTTGAAGGAAATCAAACGGGCGAGGAGGAAATAGCTGCTGATGGTAACGACGTTGCGGATGATCTTGGTCAGATGTTGCAGGACGCCAGGGAAGACTGCGAAAGTGAAAAGGAGGCCCATAAATTGGACAAGATGTTGGAGGACCACAGAAATTCGTTGTACCCAGGTTGCGAGCAGGGGCACAAAAAGTTGGATACCACTCTGGAGTTGTTGCAATGGAAGGCAAAAAATGGGGTTAGTGACAAGGCATTTGGCGATTTATTGAAACTCGTCAAGAACATTCTTCCGGGGGGAAACAAATTGCCCGAGACAACGTACGAGGCTAAGAAGATAGTCTGCCCGTTAGGACTGGAAGTTCATAAGATTCACGCATGTCCGAACGATTGTATCCTATATCGCGGTGAGGAGTATGAGAACCTAGAAGCATGCCCTGTTTGCAAAGCACTACGATACAAGATTAGACGGGACGATCCAGGAGAAGTTAACGGGCAGCTAACAAAGAAGAGAATTCCTGCTAAGGTGATGTGGTATTTCCCTATAATACCACGGCTAAGGCGTTTGTTCAGGAACAAGGGGAATGCTAGAATGTTGCGATGGCACGCTGAAGAGCGTCAACAGGACGGGATGCTGAGACACCCCGCCGATGGTTCGCAGTGGCGAAACATCGACAGAAAATTTAAAGAATTTGGAAAGGACGCACGAAACATACGGTTTGGTTTGAGTACGGATGGCATGAATCCTTTTGGAGAGATGAGCAGTGGCCATAGCACTTGGCCCGTTACGATGTGTATCTACAACCTCCCCCCCTGGCTATGCATGAAGAGGAAGTATATAATGATGCCGATTATTATTCAAGGCCCCAAGCAACCTGGTAACGACATCGACGTGTACCTAAGACCACTGGTCGAAGATCTTAAACAGTTGTGGAAGAAGGAAGGTGTCCCCGTGTGGGACGAGGACAAACAGGAGGAGTTTAACCTACGAGCGCTGCTGTTCGTAACCATCAACAATTGGCCTGCACTTAGCAACCTATCCGGACAGTCCAACAAGGGGTACAAGGCTTGCACTCACTGTATGGATGAAACAGAAAGTACGTATCTTAAGCACTGTAGGAAGGTTGTATACATGGGTCATCGTCGATTCCTTGCAGCAAACCACCCGGTACGGAAGAAAGGCAAGCACTTCGAACATAAGGCCGACCACCGTACGAAGCCTAAACATCGCAGCGGGAAAACAGTGTTTGCTATGGTTAAAGATCTTAAAGTAGTGTTCGGAAAGGGGCCTGGAAGCCAGCATATAGAGAGCGAAGATGGTCACGCGGCGATGTGGAAAAAGAACTCTATATTTTGGGAGTTACCATATTGGGAATTCTTGGACGTACGCCATGCAATCGACGTGATGCACCTCACTAAGAACCTTTGCGTAAACCTTCTTGGCTTCCTAGGTGTATACGGAAAGTCGAAAGATACACTGGAAGCACGTAATGATCTGAAGCATATGGAACAACGCGGCGACCTTCACCCGGAACCAAAGGAGAAAGGAAGCCATTACTTGAGTCCAGCCAGCTACACTCTTAGCAAGGCAGAGAAGGAAAGTATGTTTGAATGCTTGGAGAGCATAAAGGTACCGTCTGGATACTCCACGAATATCAAGCGAATAATAAGCACGAAGGAGAAGAAGTTCACAAACCTAAAGTCTCATGACTGTCACGTGTTGATGACACAACTGCTACCAGTTGTAATAAGGGGTATCCTTCCAGACAATGTCCGGGCAACAATAACAAAGCTATGTGCATTCATGAACGCAATTTCGCAGAAGGTCATCGATCCGGATAGATTAGAAGCCCTTCAGAATGAAGTGGTGCAATGTCTCGTCAGTTTTGAGTTGATATTTCCACCTTCATTTTTCAATATAATGACGCATCTGCTTTGTCACCTTGTGAAAGAGATCCGTATTCTCGGGCCTATGTACCTACACAACATGTTTCCTTTCGAGAGGTACATGGGCGTTCTGAAGAAGTATGTTCGTAACCGTGCTCGTCCAGAGGCAAGCATCGCCAAGGGTTATGGAACAGAGGAGGTCATCGAATTTTGCGTAGAATTTATCGAAGACCTTCGCCCAATCGGGGTACCTGAATCACGCCATGAAGGGAGACTACGGGGAAAGGGAACTCTCGGAAGGAAAGCAATAATGACGGTAGACAACAATTTATTCCGTAAAGCCCATTTCACTGTTCTGCAACACTCTTCATTGGTAGCTCCTTACATCGAGGAGCACTTGGCTCTAGTTCGCGCCAGGAACATCGGTAAGTCCGATGCATGGATTACACGGCATCACATTGATACTTTCCCCGCGTGGCTACGACAACATCTCATGGGTAACGAGTCGATCAACCAACAACTTGCCTTCCTGGCGAGGGGACCGTCTGGGTCTATCGCGACATTCCAGGGATATGAGATCAATGGGTACACATTCTACACGAGAGCCCAAGACATGAAGAGCACGAACCAAAACAGCGCTGTTCGTGTCGATGCCATGGGACACGATGGAACAACTGCCACGTATTACGGTGCCATCGAGGACATATGGGAACTTGACTATGGTCCTCTCAAGGTTCCTCTGTTCCGGTGCCAATGGGTTAGGTTGACTGGTGGAGGCGTAATGATTGATGACAGTGGGATGACAACTGTTGACCTTAACAAGGTTGGATACTCGGACGAACCTTTTGTCCTTGCCAATGATGTAACGCAAGTCTTTTTCGTGAAGGACATGTCTAGCAAAG